GGAGCTCTTCCACAAGAACATGAGATAAAAAAGTTTTCGAATGGGCATTAACTACCGTAACGTTTTATTCATTCAGTTGGAGATGGGGTTACAAATAGGAATTTGTGCTGTGATTTGAAATGGTTTTTTTGTATCGTGTTTTATTGCAATACAACGTTGCAAGTATTATTACACACTAGAATAGTCTTAAGTAAGTGACTAACACATAGCTATAAGTGAACAAAAACAACTGTCAACAATCCAAGACGTTCTTTTGTTGGTTGTGAAATTTTCAAAGCAAAACAAACATTTTAAAGACACTTAATATATAAGTGGTTCAGATTGAATACAAACTTTGGTTTTCCGAGTTTCAAGTCTAACTATCAATATGTTTATGACAATATTATCTGTTATTTCTGCTTCCAGAGCCACATTCACCTGGCGCACACGTGATAACAAAATAATTGCGATATTTACTATATGAGAGCCGCCATCTTGAATGCGGCATATAACTAAATAAGACACAAGTTGTGAAACGCGTTTTTCACATTCATACAAATCAGGACAAAAATACCAATCTTTCACAGAAATACGATCCGTTGGGGTAACATTAAGCCAACCGATAACAAAATCCGACCGAATTCGTCGTTTTTGTGTGGACACGAAGAACATAGAACACTTTCCTGGTGTATTTGAAACCAAATATTGTCATTCCAGCTCAGCAGCCAAATCAGCGACAGCCATACAGTTAGATGACAATTTCGGTTTCAAATACCCCGGGAAAGTGTTCTATGTTGAATAATTATGTTTTTCTTGAATATAGCATCAACCTGCATTAAATTATACCTGCATGTTATGGGTTGACAATCTTCCGTTTAGCAAACAAGCTGAAGAACAAAAAGTCAGTTGTGGCTTTCGGCTGACCAGTCTTGCAAACAATATCTGACCCTTTGAAGATTCTCCCACTTTCTGTTCCAGCTAAACGAAACCTATATTAAATAATGAGGATATTACCCTTGTAGAGTACGTTTCCAAATACTATATTATAGCATATTTTAAGATATCGACCTTTTCCGCCCCTCTCACATATGTTAATACATATAGTCTAAAACATACATTATTTCGACAATATATTAAACAGAAAAATCAACTTCCGACTTATGTCAAGCAAGGGGTGTGTGATCTGTCATATTTAAAGTCACAAAAATTGAAATTTGAGTCCAATGTTTAAATTCTATTTTGAATTCCACGCCCTCAGTTCGCCAAAGTGTTATTCGCTCGTTTATTAATTCACGTTGACACAGAGAGAACGGGTAATCCATGCACTCTGGATATCGGAGATATCGTTAGCAGAACAGCGCCACCACTGTCATAAAATTCAATTCACATTCATCTCCATGGAAATAAAGGCATGCACCTTTACTCAAAGGCCAGAAGCAGTTGCCGAGAGTATTATAGCGCAGTTGGAGAGGCTGCTTAAAGAATTTACGTTATATGCCTCTAGACAATGTGATCCTTCGAGGTCGGAGTCAAAATCTCGACATCAGGACTTGTATACAAAAGGAATGGTACCGAATACGGCTGGTGTCCAGCATGGAAACA